CTGACCGAGTAATAGAAATAGAATAATATTGTGTTGGTGGGTTACAGCCAGATGGATCCACCAAAAAATGTTCACGTCCAACCTTTTAAACCACTTATTAGCTCATTTTTTTACCCAACAAGCTTACATCCCAAACCTGTGACTTTCACAAAAAAAAGAAAAAACTCAGAAAGCTTGAAAAGCTTAGGGTCGTTCGCTGACTGAAATAACCTCTGCTGGGATAAATGGTTGCTGGAGCGTAAAGTTCTTGACATCGATTTGTCGAGTCGTTTTTCTTCACCAGTCACCACACTACCCAATCCCACCATGTCTAAAGTTGCTGAAACCCATTTTTGTCTTGGCAGGGTGTTGACATACAGCATTGGCCCCCAAAGCGAATTCAGATTAGTTGAAATGTTTAGCTGTGGAACCAATGATAATGTCCCACATCAGTGATAAACTACGTACATGGGACCTATATACTAAGAGGTTGACCAACTATAGATTGCTTGTATTTTATGATTGGTGTGGAGTGTTATTATTGATTCTACTACTTGTTCAAGAGTGGTTACATGTACCTAATCCTGGCAGCATGCCGAGGTGCGTTGACATTGAGCCAATACTGTTGACTTGTCGCAGTCCATTATTGCTATAGTGTTGGTGATTTTATCTCAAATAATATTAACAATAAAAATTTAGCAAAATCTATGATGCATCTGCCACAATGTACAGAAAATGACATGATTAGTTGGACCTGATGGTAATTATATCTTGTTTAACATGAAAATACACTTTGTGAAGCATAAATTAAGGCTCGGTTTGGAAAGAATACAAATATAGATATGTAAAGTGTAAAACCTTATATTTTGTATTATTTTATATGTATTTGTATTATATATATTTATATTTGCACTCCTTCCAAACTGAGCATAATGAAAAACAAACTAACTTCAAGATGATTAGTTAAGATCTGGATTTAACATGCAGCAAATATTAGTAAATAATCCCTAGTTGAGCTCTAAAAACTTTTGATAAAATCTCTATTCCAGAAATTAAAACAAACCATGCCATAGGCGTTTATAGCTTCTTATTTAGTTCATAAAATATTTTCAATTATTCGATGAAAAGAAAAGAAAAAGAACTGAGTAAAGTTGAAAGGTGATAGTGAGATTTTCTTTGAAAAATGATGGAATTGATATGAGACATGAGACCCCACTCTCACTGTTAATTCATCATATTCAATCACCTATAAATTGGGAAACCATGGCTTTGGTCAACAGAGAGGGAAACAGAAAAATTACATATATATGACCTTGTATAGGTCCACATCAAACTTGTCAACTCATATTGCCTAAATTCAAACTTTATCTCTTCACTCTTCAGGACACCGAGGAGATATGACATGTAAATCTCTGTTCCTACTATACTTTGTTAGCAAGAATAAATATAGAATTTCAAAAATATAGAAGAACTCAAGAATTTGAATTTTATATAGATATTTAATAATTTAAAAATAGTTTTTTTTTTCACATATGCATATATTTAATGTGTTATACACTTACACATATAATATTTCCAATATTCATTCTAAACTTCTTATCGAGAACATATTAAATTTGAATTGGTGCTTCTACAATCTTTTATTACACAACATTTATTTAGCTGATTTTTCATTAAATTCTTTGTTCTAAGCTCCAAGTTATAAAATCATATAGGTCTATTTGTGTCATGATCTGCTGCTAGCAAGAAGCTTGTTATTAATACATTGACAGCACAGCAATCCAGCTGTGCATTTAGAACATCTCCCATGAAGAGTAAGATACATGTATAGGGGATGTTTTACAGTTGGATTGCTATCCTATCAGCATATTACCACTCTACCATATTCCAGCTGCAAATAGGGAATATCTCCCATACTTGTATGTTATTATTCATAGGAGGCATTCCTAATACACGGTGAGATGTGGCTGCGAGGTATAACAATCATAAAGAAAGAGGGATTTGTTTTTCTAATGTTTAGTCAAATGGCACCATTTTCTCTTAAATTCTCTCTAATTTCTATTTATCTCCTAAATTATCTCAAACTCCTATCTCTTAAATTATCTCTAATTTAGTAGAGAGATTTCCTCCTAAACTATCTTTTAATTCCTATTTATCCTCTCCCCCACTTTTTATCTACATCTATCTAAAGAAAGCTTCAATTAAAATTTTTATAATTATTTAAATATTATAACGAAATTATATCCCAACTTTAAAATATTTATTCAAAACAAAAAAAATAATTATAATAGATTTAATCATATTCATATTATTAATAATTCTATATTTTTACAAAATTCATTAAGAAATTATGTATTAACAATATAAATTATAATTTTATGAATTACTCAATTTAAATGTTATTCAAATAATAAAAAGATATCATTAAAAAATAAAAAATTATTTAAATATTTCATTAACTAAATATCTTAAATAACAAAACATTAAAAATAGCTAAGTAATTATATAATAAAATATTTAATATTACATCATAACATGGAAATAAATACAATTCAAATAATAAATTTTTTTAAATATTTTACATATTATTTAAATATTTAAATAATGATATATAACATGACTAAATTTTAAATAGTTAAAATAACGAAATTATGTAATAAATTTAATATATATATATATATTAAAAGTAGAAAGATAATTATAATAGATTTCATAATATTCATATTAACAATAATTTATTATTTTGCAAAATTAATGGAGAATTATGTAATAATAATACTAATTATAAATAAATAATTTCACTTATATCAATTAATAATTGTAGAAAATAACTTTCAAAATATAATATTTATTAGTAATAATTTTACAATAATAGTGTATATTATATAATCAAATTAATAGTTATATTATTTTTAGTAATTATTTATTGTATTTTTGACAAATATGTTTTCAATAATTATTTATAAATTTATTTTTGTTTTATTATTTAGCACTAAATTGTCAATAGTTATTGGAGATTAAACAACTATTATTTAACTTTTGAAATTTAATTTATTGTATTTTTGTTATAGATTTATTTTTAGTAATTATGTACTTTTATAATTTATTGATTAATGTTTATTAAAGATTAAACTATTATTTGAGATTACACTATTTATTGACTAACTTAATAATTTTTAGTATTTATTGTATTTTTATTATATATCTATTTTATTTTCATTATAAATTTATTTTCAATAATTGTATAATTTTGCTATAAATTTTCAATACTTATAGGAGATTAAACTATTGTTATTTATTAGATATTAGACTATTAATTAAGCTGAAATTAGGAGTGTTCAAGGATTGGTTCAATTCTGTTGTAGGTTGTTTTGCCAACCAAATTGACATGGTTAGTTCAGGAGTTTGCCACCCGAAACAATTGACCATTAGCGAAAGCCTACCAACTCGGGTTGTACTAGTTTGGGTCTATTTTTGGTTTGGTTTATTTGTTCAAATGATTTAAACTTAAAAATTAAATTTAAATTTAATAAATTACAATGGTATTATTTAAAAAATTAAATTTATGATATAAAATATTTTAGACTAAGAAATATGAGAATTTCCTACTTTTTCATATTAAAATTATATTTAAAATGTAAAATATTAATATATATCTATGGTTGGGTCAATTCAGTTTTAGTCAGTTTACTAATGGCCAAATCGAAACTAACCTAACTTGGTCGAGTTGAAAAATTGTTAAACCAAAGCTGATCAGAAATACTCGAAAACCGACCAACTCAGGTCAAGTTTGATCAGATTGGTTATTAAAAAGTTAAAATTAAAACAATTATATACTCCTATGTATTTCTATTGTTTAACTTTCGCTTAACAAAGCTCATGCATCACACGGGTCCCCGCTAGTTCATTATATTGGACTGCATCCCACTTTATGACCTTAGATCCCATATGGAAGTTAATGTCACACAATATTAGAAGCCTTGTCTTTAATCAAACAAATAATCTATAGACCCAGTGATTACTTTTATATACAACTAGCAAGGACAATTTTTTATCATGTTGATTATGATAGTAAATAACATGTTTTTAAAATTTTTTACAATTTTTTATATTTTCATCTATAAAAACTATTTCTTTACAAGAGTTACTGCAATGCTTTCATTGATTGCTCTCCAAAGAAAGTCTCTAAACTAGCAAACAAGGTTCAAAATATCCATACGCCGTTAGAGCTGTCGTATCAAGCAGTATTGATAATTTTTTTTTGTTTTTTTTTTTGGAATCTGGTTCAGAAGGGCCAATTTAAGGTCCATCCACCCTCTGAACCGGTGGAGACCCTAAAACACCCCTTGTAAGGGCATATCGAAAACCCCCTGATACAATACATATCAATATTTTGAACCTTTCTAGCAAGGCCATATTTGGGAGTGAATTTATAATGATGTTAGGCGAAGCTAAAAGTCAGTCAAGAAGCATTGGATGGGATTTTTGCATAAAAAGGTCTATTTGGAAAAAGCAGAAAAAGTAAAGACAACATTTACATTTGCAAGAAAAAGATGATATTTTGAATAAAAAAGTTGATCACCAGCCAAAGACAAAAATGTTTTTTCCCAAAAATGCCATTCTAAAAAGTGGGCTTTCTCAGAAGCTCATTTAGGCCGAAAGGCACTGCCCATACATGATTTCATACTTTTCCAACATTTCTACTGCCCGTGCATTAGGGTCAGTTGGAAGGAGTACAAATGCAAATAGGTAGGATGCAAAACCTTATATTTTATATTATTTTGTATATATTTATACTATACATATTTGTATTTATATTCTTTCACATTAAACCTTAGAAACATCTTCTCTCGTAAATGAACGGGAAATATTCGCGTGGGAAGAGTTTGTGGATAAGAAATCCATACCCACATGCAATTGATCTGCCCATCAAGCCTCAATAGCACGAATGTACAAATGAACCAGGTATGATACCATCATCTTGATACATCCGACTATGATCAAACATTGAATCCAACACGGATGACCAGTAACATGCCCTATTATTCACCGAGGATGTGCCCAAAACACTTGTTGGAAATAAGTAAATTAACAAATACAAATAGATAATGCCAAGAGATGGAATTTTCAGAAATACCATTCAGACTGAACCGATCTCTTCGAAGTCCGAAGGTGTTACAGCGAACCAAAGCGGGCAGATTCAGCTTTTCCCTGCCTTTGACTAAAAACGAAAGTAATATTTTATTTGTACAGTAACATTCACTGCATTCTGCAGCCAGAGTTGTTGGCAGACTAGAGAAACATGTTAGAATCTGTACATATGAGAGGAAATAAAGCTCAACGCATGACATCTGCTTCCATCTGCTTTCCGTGTAAAAGTTGTAACTTTTCTGACTACCTTTTCCTTAGTATGATCCTCTCGCTACTGTTGGCAGGGGTGTCACTACTGGGAGTAGCAGCAGCAGCAGCAATGGATGGAGAAATGATGCTGGTACGTGATGACTTCGACTTGCGCTCCCTCGGGTAGGGATAGATGATCGCTAGTTCACTAACACGCCGTAGAACAGATGGGGGTATGGGGCGATACGCATGCTTCCGTCCTTGCTCAACCTACACATAACCCTCTTAGAGTTGTGATACCGTATAAAAGCAATAGCTAACGAGACAATTCAATTGCACAAAAATCACAACACAACCACTTGCAACAAAGAACCGTAGAGATAGAACTAGTTGAATTGAATTGCATTGGGTGCCATATTATGCCCCGGTCAACAGTGTATGACATGCATTCTTCACAAGCTTCGAAATATATAAATGAGATCTAAAATCACAAATTCATGGACTCCGTATTAAATGCAAAAACCATAATGAGAAGCATGTTATAATGGATTAGAGTCTCACGAGGAATCTGGACCTCAATAAGAAAAAATTTGTTTCTTAGACGAGTAGATATTTCTCTAGACCCAGTTTAACACGTTTTCACCTTTCCACTGAGGGTTACTGAAGATTGTTTTCCAGAACTTGTGAATTTGTTTATTATATACCGAGTCCAATTATGATAATGGAAAGCCATGATATGCAGAAAAAAATGAAACAAAAAACTTCTAACCAATCAACTGGTATCATAAAAAGTGGCAAACAATCACATGGTATTCTTCAAATTTCACAGGGGGTTTGATTGGTCAAAGTTCTTCTGGTACCATACCTTTCTGGCATCAAAGATATTGCCTTGTATCCTACAAACAATGAATTCTTTCCATAAATTCTGTTAGCCATCTTGTGCAAAACACACATCATTTTGTACACGCAATATACATTATACAAACCACAAAGAGAGGGCATACACCAATTATAGGCAAAATTGCATGGACAAGGACATGAGAGTCGTGTCCATGAGTCAGAATCTGATGCATGTCCAAGAGTCTGACTCTTGGTAGCATAAGAAAACATAACTGATACTTGTGGTGAGATACCGTTCACCTCGGAAGAAGCCCCTTCGAGGGTGGCTTAACCTCCTGAAACAGAAAATGGGGAGGAAGAAGAGAAGGGAAGGTAGGAAGAGAGGGATGCAGTGAAAGAGAAAAACAGGGGATATTCATTCGTTCCTTCTTTAAAAGAGTAGGGCCTTATATATCTGGCCTACAGGTGTAATCATAGAGGGAATATCCTCTGATTGGCAGAATAACTAACTGATAACAAACTCTGGGAAATATCATGGAGGGAATATCTTCTGTCGACAGAATCAACCTCTCTGTGTGTAACTAATTCTGAGGCTCTGTTGCCTGTCCCTGAGGCTCTGTCGCCTGTCCTTTCTGCTTCCTTGAGTACTGCTGATGGGTAGTGGCCTGCTCCACTCCCTGTGTTGGGTTAGGGGAAGGTATTTGGGTCCCAACACAATGGCTATAGGTTGTCTCAGTATTTACCGTATCAAGTACCCAAAAGGCCTCTGTTTGCTTTTAGTTTATTCATTAAATTTATTCAATTAGAACAGCTACAATGCTTATTGCACCATAACACAATTTAGCATGTGAAAGTCAGAATGAACAGAAAAAAAAAAATTTTTTGATCTGCTTCTTTTTGGTTTCAATGTGGTGTCAAGGGCCAAAGAAATGGTATTCGAGATGGCCACTTGGCACCCCTCCAAATAGGAGGTGTGGATTCAAACCTCTGGAATGGCCGGTGGGCCTCACATGCACCCTGCTCTACCCACGCCCCAAATTGGGATTTTCTCCTCACAGAAAGGACCTCACACCGACCTCACAGGCACATCCCACCGTCTAATGGGAACATCTCCAATGAATAATAACACACAAGTACGGGAGAAATTCCCATTGTGCAGTTGAGACGTGCTGTGAGGAGCGCTCTGTGAGCAGATCCGTACTACCCCAATTCCCCATGTGTAGTATGTAATACCAAGAAAAAAAATGTGATGTCAAGGGAGGACTAAAGCCAAGGGACCCATAGTGACACTTTTATACATCCTAATTGCCTATATATTCAGCAGATTAGTGTCAAGATTCAATAGGAGGGAGTTGATCTACGGATGTAGAGTAGGAAGGAAGAGGGTTGTGATGACACGGTTTGCCGATATAATCCTCCTTTGTGAGAATAAAGATCAACAACAGTAAACAATTTTCAACTGTTGGTAAAACTGTTTGAGAAAATGTCCGATTTAAAAAATCAATCTTGAGAAATTCAAAGATGAAGAAATTCAAAGATAAATGTCCGATTTATCTGGGGTGCCCAACATCTGGTACAGCCCCTTAAATATTTGGGCCTGCTTTTAGAAATTCAAAGATGAGCAGTTTTTGAAATCTAACCCAAGACAGGTTTGCCAAAAAGTTGACAACTTTTATTTCTTATGCACTCTTCAGTTATCTAGACCACTAATTAAATTTCTACATGGTTCATGCTAATTGAAAAATACATCAGAACATTTGCATGATATCAGGGGGAGGAGGTTGGATGTGGACATGGATTTGGTTATTTGGTATACCTGAATTTGGTTATTGGTATACCTGTATATGAACCTAATGGAGAAATGCATCACAACATTTGCTCCACATCTTGGGTATGGATACAAGCTAGAATTGGCTTCAGTTTTATGGGTTAGAATAGGACTTGCCCCAAGGCCCTGATTCCAAGTTTACTGGCAGCTAAAGCTGTAGCTGCTCCTTTCCCCCGGTGACTCTTCTTTCTTGATCATCTATAATAAACATGAAAGCAAACTGTTACTTACCAAATAGGTCCATCTGTCTTAAGAGCTTCTCAAACTAATCTTGGCATGTCATATTAATGACTACATATTATGAGGACTGATTTTCCGGTGTCGTGTTCCTATTTTAAGAGCAATTTGCTGGTTGATAAATGTTTGATCTAGTTCTTTTTCAATCAGATTGTTAGATCTAGTTCTTTCTATAATCTTTTTCTTTTCTTCATATTTATTCATCTCATTGCTAGCTGTCAATCTGTCACTGCACTATAGACAAAAATAATAATTGCTATCAGATTGGGAAGATATTTTTAGTATTTTAACAATCTATCCTATGAGAAAGGAACGGAAAGTGAGAGATATCATATTTAAGTAAGACTTACATTTATAGCAACTTTCATAACCCAAAAACACTATAACTGTATAACAGCCACAATCATGAGAAGAAAAGGTTATAATTTATAAAGCAAAGAAAAACCAATCAGAACGCTAACCTCCCTCTTGCTCTGCATCTGTGCACAGCTAGCCCGCAAAAGATTTCGCCATTTGTCCTGTGAAGTGCCCAAGTGGTAAACAAGTTAAGGTCAGAAAACTAAGTGGTATTTGGATAAGGTATCTTGGACTACCTTGAGATCAACAGATGTGCGATAAGCAGATGATGAGAACAAAAGCCTCTTTATTTCTGTCCATCTTCCAACTCCATATTGAGAAACACCATCAATCAATTTAATCACTTCAGACAGAGTCCACAGCCTATGATGTTTTCTCCTAACCCCTGCCTTTCCACTTCTAGTTGTGGCATAGTCATCTGACATGTCATCTTGTGATTCAGGTGGAGAATGTTCCATGTAAGAATTCCTGTCCTCCATCTCATTTTCAGAGTCGCGTCCCTTAGCATATTATTAACAATTAAAGATGTGAGCATAGAAATGTTGAAGAACAAAGTTGGACCCCTTCTCTGTAAGCAAAATAAATCAATGCTTCACAAAAAAAAAAAAAAAAAAAACTAATCAAGAAACAAGAATACAGTTTAACAGGAAAAACAATTGTCCAATTAGATGTTTGGGCAAGACAATTTGTACAAAGAAATGAGAGAGGAGACTGTGATTGGTACTACTTTGACCTAAAACACCACTACCCACAAAGAAAAATGAGAGAGGAGACTGAACAATTGAGAATGAGTGCTCGGAGAAAGACAATGGTGATGGTCTGAGTCGACTGACCAAAAGCATTAAACAGGAGATTTTGGAGAGGAACCAAAGTTAGAGGTGAAATGAGGGCAAGGCAGTACAGGTTGTAGAGATCAAAGCCAAGGGAAGAGGAGGTACAGTATGGTGGTCAAAACAAATTAGCATCTGCTCCTCAAACCGACCTCACAGCCACATCCCACCATGTATTGAGACCATCTCCCATGAATAATAACATAAAATACCGGATGTGTTCCCGATGTGCGGCTAGTACATGCTCTGAGGTCAGTGTGAGGAGCGCTCTGTGAGGAGCAGATCCGGACTCGGTCAAAACACGGTCTTTCTGGATTGAAGGGGTAAGAGGTGGATGCCTGGTCCTTCTGGTTTCAGATGACTATACTCCTTGCTATTTTGATGTTTAAGGTCTAAGATGACTATACTCCTTGCTATTTTGATGTTTGCTTGGTTGGGTGGTCAGATCCTGGTTCGCCTCCTGAGGTGATATATATATATCATAGTTTTCAAGGCGCCAAGGGGGCACCTTGTCACCCGCCTAGGCGATGGATTTTTTTAAGTAAAAACATGTATCCTAGGGTAGTTCCCTATGTTCCATAATCATATTTCCTTAATAAATATCCATAATTT